GAGGGGGCTTGTGGCAGAGCCCCCTCCCACAGCGTGGGGCACTGGGGGGCAGCAGGGACTACTCCCCTGCCTGGCAACACCTGCTGAGTCAGGGCTTTTTTTTAAACAAGTGCAGGGACCTGGGGCAGGCAGGGCAAGCCATTGCTGGGAGAGTGGGCGGGGGATGGGCCTGGCTGATTAGGAGATTCAGCAGCAGCCGAATCGATTCAGGACAGTGATTCAAATCACTGTCCCCCGAATTGGCTGAATCTGAATCCGAAGCGAATACTAGCCACTTCACACAGGCCTATTAAGCGGTGCTAACTTGCAACTTCTTGGAAAAGCTTGTTACCTTCAGAGAATCCTGTTTGACCCATGTGCGCTTCTGTGATGATCATTTCCTCTGCGTATGAGAGACAGTCATGTTCAGTTACACATTCACAGCACTACAGGACTGATTTGTCAATTCAAGAATAACTTAAGTGAAAAGAGCCTTTTACCCGTTGAGTTTAATTCATACTCCTCAATTTTCTTGAGCAGGGTCTTGTCAAGTTTCTCACAATTAGTCTTCAGTGTACTCAGGTTATCTTCTCCCAAAATCCCCTTCTTCTCCATCTCAATCAAAATATCGATCATTGTCTGGACAAGCACAAAGGCAGTTTTCTTTTAGGGTATGTCTGCACAGCCACTGGGAGGTGTGACTGAGGTGAACGTGGGTGAGTTGCCTGTAATGATGTCACTATTGGCAGCAAAAACCACAGTGGCTCAGACTTTTGGTCTGGGGTACACAAATCCAGCTGGAACCACAGGAACTTATCCTGGGCAGCCAGCCCACACTGCCACTGTGCCACTGTGAATTCACCGATGTTGGTATGCCAGACTATGTCTCCTTATGCCCCAGTGCCACTTCCCACCGGTGGAGCACACACCCCTTGGAGACACCGCTTTCTTTCCATGGTCTCTGATCTAGAAGCTCACCCCATCCTCACAGGTGTTGAGACCCCCTACCACTGATCAACTGATACCCCCCCTACAACAACCTGTCCTGGGAACTGAAGCTCAACCAGGCCAACCTGGATCCACAGCAATGCCCTCTTATATTTATAACTTCTTACACTGAAATGATCTCCACAGCCACATTAACTGTACATAAGGCTGACTTGAGAACAGCCACCTCTGGAAAAGCAGTCTTAGAAGTGCACAGCAATTTAAAAAGAAAGTAAAGATGACCTCACCCAGTGTAGAACCTGCAGAGAAACTCAAGTAGGCAGAATGCCATCACCCAAGGAGGAACCTGGTCACCCTGGTGGTATTCAAATGCAAAACCCGACCCAACTGATTTCACTGAATAATCAGATCCACTGAAGAGTACAATTCTGAGTCTCCCCCAAAAGCCAGCCCCTCCAGCAGCTCAGCATCCCCAACACGAGCAGAGATAGGACATGACATTTGTTGAACTTTTCTGTCTTCCTTTAATTTCATTTGTAGAGAGTGAAATTAAATATTCAGTCCACTACAGATTGTACGTTTCTGTGTTTGAACTGCTCTCAGTATGATTTCCACATTGACACTGGCCAGGGAGAGGACTGTCTGGACTTAAGCAGGCAAGATGGTACTTAAGGCACTGAGCTAGGTGTCGGGAGACCCAGGTGGCTTCCTCGTTCTGACACTGACTCACTCTATGACCTTGAGTAAATCACTTAATTCTTATGCCTCAGCTCCTCATCTGTAAGACGGGGACACAGTACTCACCCACATTTGTACAGTAAGGTCAAGAGCATGGTCAAGTAAAGTCAAAGGATGAAGTATCATTAATTGAAAATCCTTACTGATAACTAGCTGGGTAACTGAAGTAACTAAAATAAATGGCTATCAAGCATCTGAAAAGCCTGACAGCTATTTGATAGAAAGCTGGTGACACAAAGACTGACTTTGCGTTTCATCCTTTCCTATTGCCCTATGCTGTCTTGTTCATTTAGATCCATGTTATCCAAGTCAGAGACTCTCTACTGTACTTGTACAGTGGCTAACCCATAAGGGCCCCATTTGCTCCCTAGAAACTACTATATTAAACATGAAAAATAATGATAAAGGCAGAAGCCAAAGGTCTGTATCCAATTACCAATCCTATCTGCTACCAAGTCTCTAGCTTCACCTTGCCAGAGACAATTTGGGAAGCTTCTGGGGATCATTTCCTGTTCCATCAACACCCCCTAACAATCGTTTGACCAGTTAAAAAGAATTAAACCACCTCTTACAGTCTCATCATCCAGTTTGCATTTCGGAAGTTCTTTCCTTAAAAGGAACTTGAAGGATTTCAGCTCATCCCTGGATATGTTTTCTGACAGCTGGAAAAGCAGGTGCCTGGAGAGGGAAAAACAGGAAATTGTTTCAATGATTTGTCAAGCAGTCAGGGCCTTCGCTGTATTAAAAACTCTCCTGGTGAGTTACACTAGAGAATACATTCCAAAAAGCATAAAGGAGGCAAGCTAGATATGCACCTTTATAAGATAACTAAATAAGATTATATAGAAAGAGAGCATAAGCTTTCATGAACCCAAATTCACTTCATGAAATGCTGAGAGCAATGGTCATTAGTCATGACAGCATCTGGTCAAGTAACTTTGGGTTCACAAAATATTGTGCTCTACATACTTAATCTTATTTAGTTAGTTAGGGTAGATATGTAAAGGTGCATATCTACCCTGCCTTCTGACCAGCTTCAGACTAAGACACCTAACTATCTCTCGAGAAAATGTGAAAGTCACGTACTATGGCATTAGCCTGGAAGGAAACTTGGGTCTCCAAGTCTAGTCCCCTACTTCAGGCAAGGTGTCACGTAATCCCTTGTAATCCCTTTCATAAACTTTGCAGAGCTCTTAATTTAAAAGCCAATAGGGTTTTTTTTGTTTGTTTGTTTTTTGTTTTTTACTCTGGCCCATGGGAAGGTTGTTTCAGAACATAACAGCTCTAATTGTTAAGGATCTTCCAATCTCCATTATCCATGGCCAGTTTATACCCATGTGTTCTTGTGACAACATGTTCCTTCAGCTTAAGTAGTTGGTTTTTAACCTCCTGATATATTTATAGGCAGAAATCATACTCCTTTCCAGTTTTTGTTTTGCTCAATTAACAACCAAGTTCTTCTAGTCTCTTCCTGAAAACAGGCTTTCCAGCCCCTGATACCCCTTTTCTGCACAAGTTTCAGCCTGCCTACATCTTTCCTGAAGATGGGTGACCTGAGTTGTATATAGGCAGGAAAGGTTCTTTGAGTAGATGTGATATATTTTTATTAGACCAACTGAGTAGCTGGAAAAAAGTTCTTGGCAAGCTTTCGGGTGCAATCACCCTTCTTCAGGCATAGGAGTCCCTGCTGGTTTGAGACTCCAAAGAATGAGAGAAGCTAAAAGTGTGGCAGGATGTCAATAAGAACGTAAGTAGCTAAAGATTAGAAAGACAAAAGGTAAAGCAGGGGAGGGAGGGGGAAGAAAGCAGGAGGGGGGAAAAAAGTCAAAGGGAGACATTACAGTGATAGAATACAAAGTAGAAAAGAGGCTGTCTGTGAAAAAGGAAATAGTTGGAGATCAGAAAAACAGGAACGAGAGAACCTAAAAGTGTGACAGGATGTCAGTGAAAATATAAATACATAGAAATAGGAAAGCAAAAGTTAACGCAGGGAAAGGAGGGGGAAGAAAGCAGGGGGGAAAGGCTAAAGGAAAAACTACAAAAAAAAGGTGGAAGAACTTTTTTCCAACTACTCAGTCTAATAAAAGATATCACATCTACCCAAAGAACCTCGCTTGCCTATGTCCTTAGACCAACATGGCTACAACCATAAACCCAACAACGGAGTTGTACATAATACTTGAGATAAGTTCTCACCAGGGCCCTGTACAATGGCACTAATACTTCCCCATCTGCACTACAAATACTCTCCTCAGGTATCCTAGGATCACACTGGCCTTTTTCATGTCTTCATCATACTGGCAGCCAATAGTCATCTTTTGACTGGATGCCCTACTATCTCCCTACTTCACCCATATCCAGGTTTCCCTCAGTCATGCAGCCTTGCACTCCATTGGTAGAACAACAGATTTTTTTTTAACTAGATTCAATCCCAGGACAACTTGGAGCTCAAGCAAGATGTCTTATGCTGCCAAACTGACGTAGTTTTTAAAATCAAGATGTGCTGCCCAGACAAAATGTATACCTATTTCTATAGGCTCAGGTTTTTTTACTGCAGACTAATTTATCACAACCCATTCTCTGTTTTCAGTGAATGGTGATAACTGCAGATTCCTAAAATTCTGTGGATAAATATGTTGAGATGTGAAATCAGATTAGTTGACACTACAGTACTGTTTGTATTGCCAGGTGATTGGAGAGATTTCCAGGTCTGTTTTCAAGCCAGCATGCAGTGCTCAAAGATCTCACATTTGACCATTCAGCATAAACTCTGAGGTTTTAAAATGGGTGGTACTCACGGATGTGTGGTCCAGGGGAGGGATTTTAGTCAAATTAACAGAAGAACCCCATGCTCCTCCCCTGCAGTGCTTCAGAAAGGTGTAAACAGCAGTTGTACCAAACACAAGCACTGATCCTAAAATTACTTGGGCTACTGCACAACACGATGGGTTACCACGCGAGTCACTGCAAGACACCTTTAAAGAAAGATGCAAGTGGGGCTTGTTCTCCATTATAAAAAGCCCAGGACAGAAGTGCACACTCCGCTCCTGCTGCTCTCTGGGGTGGCCCCGGTGCTGGGACGATGGCCCCGGCCAGGCACTGCAGCCAGCACCCCCTTGATCTGAAGCCAAGGGCAAAACTGACTGGGGGCAGCGGGAAACCAGGGCTGCAGGGGCGCCACTCACCCCTGCACAGGCACCAGGAGAGGCCAAGGCACCGGCGGGACATGTACTTGGCCGTGTACTTGACCCCCCATCCTCAGCGCCACCCACCTGAAGGGAGACACCTTGGCCCTGCCGGGGACCTGCAGCTCCAGCTCCATCTCCTGGCGGCTGGAGCCCAGGTGCTCGCTCAGGAGGTCGATGCGGTGGATGCGGAAGAGCAGCTCCTTCAGGAAGGCCAGGTCGTCCTCGGCCAGCAGGCCCTGCTCCTGCAGCGCCAGGAAGAAGGCCTGGGGCTCCCGGATCGCCTCCTGCTTCCGCAGCGACACGTGCTCCAGGCTCAGGAACTTCAGCGCCGCCAGGTCCTCCGAGGCCAGCGCCTCGCTCAGCCCGAACAGCAGGCGGAGGAAGTCCATCCTGCCACTGCCGTCGCCGCCCGCCTGTC